TTATTAGGCTACATTACAATCGGGTTTAAATGGGAGGGAGACATAAAAAAAAGTGTGTTTACTGACAGACCAACTCCGTCAACCATGGTATAGCCATTGGAGAAACGACCAGTAGGGCCGCCATTGAAGTCAATCCCATAAGGTAAATAGTTAGCCTTCGCAAAAGAAGGAAGGGCATTGTTGTTGCCATTGTCGATGAGAGAATCTCCAAATATGAACATGGCAGGCACCATTTCTCTTCTATTCCCACGGCCCTCGTGTAAAAAAGGGTTTGGTCCTTTCCCTAAAACCGCATCGCTCAACGCGGCACTTAGGCAAAGGACGAGGCAATACGTCCACAACGCCATTGCCGAGCTTGAAGCTTTTATATGAAGAAACTTGCAGATCAGAAAGGGGATGAGTTGAGTGAGTGCTATGGGAGTAGTGGTGAAGGTGTTAAATAAGAGAGGTAAGGTTGGTGGTTGGAAAAGCGGTAAATGACTTCATCTGTTTTCGTGCACTCTACAGTAATTACTTTATTTCTCGTAAACCCAGGCCAACATCCCCAACCATTCCTTTTACTTCCATTTTGGAATGTGCACGACCAAGTCAGTTTTGCCTCTTTTGAATTATTTTCAATTTATTTTAAATTCTTAAATAAATTCTATTTTAAATTTAGTACAATATGATATAAAACAATTTTTTTTATAAATTTAATATATATAAATAAACATTATAATAATTATCTTGGATCAAATTGGATACAGAATTTTCTATCTTAAATATGACACTGACTTCTTCATTTACATAACTTATGTCCAACCCCTAAACTTAAGTTAACTTTTTTTTTATCAAATCAAATCAAAATTTATCAGGTTCAAATAATTTCATCCCATTCACGGCATTGACATTGCTATGAGTCCATGGATTGCAATATACAGGGTGGGTTTGGATCGGCTTTATGAACGTATAGTTAAACAGACTGAAAATACCCGATCTGTATATTTTGATTTATTTTGGAATTGTGGGAGCTCCCCGACTATAAACTATTTTTACATGGATTTTATTTTATATTTTATTGCAAGTATTTACACACTATGATAAAGGAAATTTGTTGGTTAGCCACTCCGGTGGTTTTGTGTGCCACTCTCAATGGTCGATTGTGTGTCGTACTGGTGTAGGGTGTTACACGACTCGAGTTCGAGAAAACTATAATTATAAATATTCTTATACTCAACTCGATTGAAGTTCAAACTAGGTTCAAGAGCGAACTCGAATTCAAACCTGAATCATAAGTAAATGAAAGCTTTACATTGTATTAAAAAACATACACATGTTAATATTATTAATGTTTTAATTTAAAGAAAATAAAATTTAATAAACTATTTTTTTAATTGTTTGTGACTTTTTCAAGTCGGTATCAAATAGTTTACTTTGACTCGTTGAGAATTCAAATCAATTTGAACTCAAATTTTGAGTTCATTCGACTAAAATATTAGCCAACCTTTAATCGAATCAAACTCAAATAGTTTGCAATTTATCTCATTTCGTTTATAGCCATAATAAATAATGCCCCATTAATGGACAGCTTTGACAAATCCAATTAAATCCATTAATCAATTTGTAAACAATTTTTGTGGTTGGACAAACCCATGTCTTCACTCCTATTTAACTGCATTTGGGTTTAGTACGGTATTGGATTAATATAGGTAGAGGTCACATTGAAAAGTTAAGGCCCAATTAAAACCTAAAAATTAATTTACGACCCAATAACAAACCTATTAAAATTTAAAGAAATACACTTCAATTAAATTGGTAATATTTTAAACATACCATGCAAAATTAATTTTGTAAATACAGCGAGGGTTTAAGTGGAAGCGGGAGTGAGGAGGAAGTTGAATCACGAATTATTCATTTGGCGTCTCAACGAAATTGCATGAGACAATGAATTTCACATGCAGACGGACCAATCAATGCGTCTTTATTTCTCACTGCATTGCTTCGTCATCCTCTTGCGATCGTTGGATTTACGCTTTCTGTATGCCGCCTTCTAAACCTTTACAGCTGTAATTTGCATTCTCATAATTCCGAATTATAACTTTATTGTCTAAAATCATAAATTTAGATTTAATGGGAAATAAAGATTTTAAAATCATTATACATATTTAGTAATTACAACAAATAGTTGTCTTGCTGTCACTATTGGTATATACGATGCTTGGATGCTTGGGGAAACTGCAGAAGCAAGAGAGAAGAGAGGTTTGGTTCTCCGTTAAAGTTTAGTTTAGGCATCGACGGAGAAAAGGGCAGTGTCAGCGTTAGGCCTTGCTGCATTAATCACGGTAGGGATTGTGGTTGGAGGAGGAGAAGTGAGTTACGATGGCAGATCGTTGATAATTCACCGACAACGAAAGCTTTTGTTCTCTGCTTCTATACATTATCCTCGAAGCACTCCTGAGGTACATTTTGTTCCATTTCCTTCTTAGATTAGCTCTTTCAAGTTTTTTTAGGAGCACAATGAATTCATAAACGTTTAGAGATTCAATAAAGACTAGTGAAATTGAGTTGACCTCTTCTGATCTCATTAAGCTTTCTTGTTGAATTGCCAAACAACTTTCTGAGAGATCTTACTGGAACCAGTCCATTACTTCACTGTTCTCATAGATTTTTTATTACAAATATATTTAAAAATTTCAAGTTGTTGCAGATGTGGGCAGGATTAATAGCGAAAGCTAAGGAGGGAGGAATAGATGTGATACAAACATACGTGTTTTGGAACCTACATGAGCCTGTAAAAGGCCAGGTGTTTTTTCCCCTTATATCAAACCCTCTGTTTTTAGTTTCCATTACGATTTGGTCATTAGATAATAACATAGTTGTGTAATTTGCAGTATGATTTCAGTGGAAGAGCGGACATTGTTAGATTCATTAAGGAAATCCAAGCACAAGGCTTAGATGCAAGTCTCAGGATCGGTCCCTTCATCGAGCTGAATGGAATTACGGGTAAACACCTACTTATTTTTCTTTATATTCTTGACCATGGATTTACCTGAGTAGCTCTCGGTTGTATTTGTGTTTGTTTGTTTATTTTTAAAGTTTTTCATGTTCGGTTCATATTTGTTTAAAATTTAAATATAATGTTTGTTTCATTTTTTTTTTGAAGATATTCGTGTTCATTTTGTTTAGTGTTAGCAAACATATTTGTTTATATGTTCAATAAATGATGAAATTACACTACTAGTCTATAAGCTCATTAGGGTTCAAAGTTTGAACCCAAAATTCACATTATGTTTAATTTAATCCTTATCTTTACAAATATTTAATCCATGTCTTCACAATTTAAACATAAATAAATTAAATACACCTCTATTTATATTTCTTCATTTAATAAATGAACATAAAAAATTTATCCGAACTCATTTATTTGACTTAATAAATAAACATAATAAAACATTATATAAACGATTTCGAACAATTCATGAAAGGCTATATTCATTTATTCTAGACGTAGACTAGGATAAAGGCATGGGAGACCGTGTCTCATGGTTGGTGGCCTCATGCCATGTGAGTATCCCATCCCATGTGGATCGAGCCGCAATTTGTGATGCGCTAGATTAAATGGTACGTATTCTTAGGTCCATCGATGTTTGAGCCTCTTTCGCCTGTTGGTTTTAGTCAAGAGCCTGGCCGACTGGCTTTTGGCGAAGGGTAAGTCTTGGGCTAGATCTGTTGTTTGGATGTTAAATTTTGCAGGGGATTAACTTTCTGGTTGCATGACATCCCGGGCATTGTTTACAGATGTGACAATGAAGCTTTTAAGGTGCATTATTTCTTAATTATGGCTCATAAAGTTTATTCACACTTTTTCATACATTGGTTGATGCACTATTCATGTACGGCGTACAGATGCATATGCAGAATTTCACCACAAAAATAGTAAACATGATGAAATCCCAAAGCCTAAATGCTTCGCAAGGCGGTCCATTCAAAGGGCTAAACAGAAAAAAGGGGTTCAGATCGTAGTTCTGGGTTTAATTATGGTTAAAATAAAATGTAGATTGAGAATGAGTACCAATTAGTGGAAGACGCATTCCATGAGAAAGGACCTCCGTCTGTGAAATGGGCAGCTCAAATGGCCGTTGAACTTCAAACTGGGGTTCCCTGGATGATGTGCAAACAATATGATGCTCCTGATCCAATCGTAATTTACTCTCCTTCACCATTTTCTTTTTAACTCCATATCATTAAAAATATATTATTATTATTATTATTATTTATACACTTGATTTGTGTGTAGATCAACACTTGCAATGGGATGAAATGTGGGGAGTAATTTCCAGGGCCTAATTCACCCAACAAGCCATGGCTTTGGACAGAAAATTGGACTACTCAGTATGTTGTTATTGCATCTGCTACTATTTGATATATTCATAATATATAATCATACTTCCTTGTATCGTGTGTATATAATTACATATTTTACCGTAACATTTCTTGTTTCAATTCTCAGTATCATGGTGGAACAAATTTTGGGAGAACAGCCTCAGCATTCACAACGACAAGTTACTATGATGATGTCCTCCTGGACGAGTATGGTATGTCTTAAACTTCTGATAAGTTCTCTTGTATACAAATACTTAAAAAGGTATATAAATTATAAAAATCCATCTAATAAGCTCACACGGTTGATGTAGGTTTTATTAGGTAGCCAAAATGGGGGCATTTGTGACGAACACTTACCATCTTTGAATCTTGAATATCATAATTCATTTTAAAGAGGAATTATTCGGTTGTTGATTATGATGTTTAATTTCAGCTTTCAGCATGAATCATCAAACAGTAAAGCAGTGCTTAAGGTGCAGTCGGCTGGGCATGTTTTGCATGCATTTGTCAATGGTGTTTTAGTTGGTATGTCTACAATTTCTACTGTAATTTGCGAGCAGATGAATTAAAAAACTTTACCAATAAGTACCGTTGGCTGTCTTGTTTTATCATTCAGTAAATAAGCATTAAGTGGGATGTTAATCTGTTAGGCACATGGAGATCATAAGAGGCCAAACTTCAGGCTAGAGAACACAATTCCATTAACCAATGGCAGTAATAACATCTCCCTTTTAATTGTCACCGTTGGTTTACGGGTAAGCCTTTTATCTTTTATATCTCGATTCATTATCATTTATGTTTCACATGACACATAAAAACTTTATAAAATATGAGTTGGACAAATATATATCTTAGTTGAAGATTCTAAAGATCAAATTAAACAACAACAAAAATACCAAAATATTAATGATATATAATTTTAAGGGACGTTAAAATATCATTTAATCTAAAAATATTAATGATAAAATTGAAATTGAAATAACAATGTTATTTAAATTTTATATGATAAAACTTAACTTTATAAAAATGCTACTCGAAAACATTTGAATTTAAAATTTAAGGTTATGATAATAAATGGTTAACCTTTGTTATCAACTTTTGATTTAAAGGATTCAGGAGCCTATCTAGAGAGAAGGGTAACAGGGCTGCGGAGGGTAAAGATTCATGACATAAAAAAATCAACGGATTTGACCAATTATCGGTGGGGTTATCAGGTACTCTTTATCTTTTTAATTTCAATCTAACCCTAATTTAATTTTAATTTTAATAATAAGAAAGATTTTTTATTTAATACAAAATATTTTTAATATTAATTTGAATATTGAAAAGGGATTTTAAATTCATTTGAATTTAGACAAGAAAATAACCTTTTTCATAAATAATTCTACTTGATAATTGAAAATTCATTCTTCACTAAAAATCGTCTCTTTAAATATAAAAATTAACACAAATGGTTTGTATAGTATTTCTTAGAAATAAATTTAAAATTTAAATCTTAATATTTACAAAATTTCTCTCATCTTGTTTCATGACTATACCTCAAGTATTCCATTTTTTTAAAGCTCACTACATTTTGCATTTTGGTTAACACTTTGACATTTGTATAGATTGGACTAATAGGAGAGAGATAAGAAATATATAAGGACCAAAGTTCAAGCGAAGTTCAATGGACAACATTGAGTTCTTCTGGCAATCCCCTTACTTAGTACAGGGTATGTATATAACTATTTTTTTGGCAATTTCTTTTAGGTTGAAGTGTTTTCAAATTTACACGTAAATCCGGTCCTTATTAAAAGAATATTGAAAAAGAAATACAATTTGTAAACTTGGATTATGTTAAGCTGTTATAATGAGCGACACGTGTGTGTATGTTAGTGGTTGGGTTAGTTAGGTTGTTAGCCAAGCTGTTAAGTCCGTTAAGCTGCAGTTACCAAGAATGTAAAACGTGCATCATTGTATATAAGAGTGTCAAGCTCAATAAATAATTTTGTCTTGCCTATTCTTCAATATTGTTTTGCACCTTTTCTAATATGGTATCTTTCGCCGGAAATCTTGGGGTTCTCTATTAAACCTCCGCTTCTGCTTGCTCTCGCCTAAGAATGGAGTCGTCCAAAGGCTTCTCGCACAAGAAGATCAACGTCGTTCTCGACGAAACAAACTTCCTGCTATGGAAACAACAAATTTTGTTGACAGTCCGTAGCCATCGTTTAGAACGGTTGTTGACCGGTGTTTTGAAGCCGCTACCTGAAACGATTACTGGTGACAATGGTGAAGTGAGCACTAACGAGGCTTTTGAGGATTTCGTGGCACAAGATAGCGCTATTCCGTCGTGGCTTCTTTTCACCATTAGCTCCCACATTCTTCCTCAATTTGTCGGGGCTGAGTCGGCTGCTGCAGTGTGGTCTACGGTTCAACAACTATTTGCCAATAGGTCTACAACGGCGGCGATGAGCCTGCATTGTAAACTGCAGTCACTCAAGAAAGGTAACGACAACATGCGTACTTACCTCACCAAAATTAAAGAGATCTGTGATGCACTTGCATCGTGTGGAAGTGCAGTCCCTCATGTTGGTCATATTGCCAGCATTCTGAAAGGTCTGCCCAGGGAGTATCAGTCGTTTATGGCTGTCATTACCACGATGAAGGAGACTCTCTCGTTGGACAGCCTGTACACAGTTCTTTTAGATGCTGAAGCACAGTTAGCTAGCTTTGATGAGCAATCAGATTTCCTTCCCATAAATGCCAATTTAGCTCAACATCAAGAAGGTTATAGTGTTGTTAAAGGTTATCGTTGTGAAATCAAAGTTACTCGGCCATCCTCAACGCACAGACCTGGGAGTAAAGGTTGGGGAAGAGCCAAAATCCAATGCCAACTATGTGGGAAACTCGGTCACTTAGTTGACCGATGTTGGCATCGTTTCGATGAGGAATACACGTGTGTAACCTCTGACTCAAGATCTCAAAAAGGCCAACCCGCTAATGCATACTATTCTGTGTCCGAAACCTCTAATATGAGTTGTGAATGTTGTAAAGGGTGTTGTCAAGGGGCTGGTCAAGCGTAGGCTAATGTGATCTCCAAAGCTGCTGATTACTGGGTTGTTAACTCAGGTGCAACACACCATATTACGCCTGATGCAACTAATGTCTCAAACTTGGTTGAATTTAGAGGTCCAGGTAAGCTTATTGTGGGTAATGGACTCTCTCTTGATATACGTAGCATTGGTAATACTGATGTTACTTCTTCTTCTTCATGAACCTTTTATTAAATGAGTTATTACACGTGCCTCGGATAACCAAGAATCTTCTTTCGGTTTCGAAGCTTGCTAGGGACAATGTTGTCTTCCTTGAATTTCATGCTAAAAGCTGCCATGTTCGTGATGAGGCTACGAAAGAAATTCTCTTGCAAGGTGAAGAGAAGGAAGGGTTATATGTTTTCTCGGTTGGCTGTAAGCGTGTAGAAAGCTATAGTCCCACTGCGCATCTTACCTCTGCTAGCATAACACAGTCCGAGCTATGGCATCGTCGGTTAGGGCATCCAACCAGCTATGCCATGAATAAAATAGCTAAAGAAATCGATGTAAATCTTGATTTGAATGTTAATAAAACGTGTGTGGCATGTTTCATGGGAAAAAGCCATAAACTGCCATTTTCTCCTTCGAAGAGTCAGTACAATTCACCATTTGAACTTGTATTTTCTGATTTGTGGGGGCCTCCTCATGTTGCTTCGAATGGTTTCCGTTATTATATTTCGTTTGTTGATGCATGCACACATTTCGCATGGATTTATCTTCTAAAGAACAAAGCACAAGCATGTACAACTTTTCAGCTGTTTCATAAACTTATAGAAAATCAGTTTGGGCTGATGATCAAGGTTATTCAATCGAACTGGGGTGGTGAGTTTTGTCGCTCTCAATGATTATAGCAAAGTCAGGGATCATCCATCGGATGTCCTGCCCACACACATCCGAGCATAATGGTGTTGTGGAACGAAAACATCGGCATGTTGTAAAACTTGGGCTTGTTCTTCTTGCTCAAGCGTCTCTGCCCCTTCGGTACTGGTCGTATACCATAGTAATTGCGGTTCATCTTATTAATAGATTGCCTACAACTATTCTTGGTGGGATGTCACCGTTTGAAAGGTTGTTTAAGAAGAACCCAGAATATGACTCGTTTAGAGTATTCGGGTGTCAATGCTTCCCACACATGAGGCCGTTTCAGACTCACAAATTAGATTTTCGATCATAGCAGTGCACTTACCTTGTCTTCAGCCCTCAGCACAAAGGACATCAGTGTCTTGATAATGATGGTAGGGTGTATATATCACGACATGTCGTGTTTAACGAGATGATTTTTCCCTTTGTAGATAAAGCATCACCTGGTTCGAAAGAAGTGGCTTGTTCGATAAATCGTTTTTCAGGAGTGCGGTCACTAGATATTCCTATTATAGTTGATGTAAGAAATTGACCATGCAGTGCTATTCCAGATGAGGTAGTTGACTATGAACAGGAAGCTACAGATCAATCTCAGCTGGGTGTTCCTACTCAGCATGAAGATATATTGCATACGACTGAAGAGGTCATGCCATTAACAATCATAGACACTACTATAAACGAGGATGCAAGTTCAACTATGCCTTCTGATTCAAGTTCAACTATACCCTCTGACACGGTTGGTACAGGTGATCGTGATGAAACGGGTGGAGGATTAGACATAGTATTATGCAGTCAGCTGCAGGATAATGCACCTCTACGAAACGTTCATCCCATGCTAATACGTAGCAAGTGTGGAGTGTTTAAACCCAACTCCTACATTAGTTATTTTGAAAATGAAGTGCCCTTTACGGTTTAAGAAGCATTGCAGTCTACTTGTTGGCAAGAAGCAGTGCAAGCTGAGTATGATGCGCTTCAGAAGAACAATACGTGGGAGCTGGTTAAATTACCAGCAGGGCGTGCTCCAGTCGGCTGCAAGTGGTTGTTCAAAATCAAACGCAATCCTGATGGGTCTGTGCAACGACATAAAGTGCGGTTGGTTGCAAAAGGCTTCTCACAGGTGCCAGGGCATGATTTTACTGACATTTTCAGCCCCGTGGTAAGGTTTTCCTCCTTTAATGTAGTGTTGGCTTTAGTTGTGGCTAACGGTTGGGAGTTAAGGCATGTAGACATCAACAATGCATTTTTTAATGGGGATTTAGAGGAAGATGTCTTTATGCAGCAACCACCAGGTTTCGAGCAACACGATGTGGATGAAACACCCTTTGTATGTAAGCTTAAAAAGGCCCTCTATGGCCTTAGGCAAGCCCCATGAAATTGGCATAACAAACTTAGGGATAATCTGATTCAGATTGGTTTTGCAGCCTCCCGCGCTGATCCTTCATTGTTCGTCAATAAAAGGGATGATGGAGAGTTATTTCTTTTGGTTTATGTTGATGACATTGTCATCACTGGGCAGTCGTCGGGTGCAATTCGAGAAGTGATTCAGCTGCTCAGCGATAAGTTCTCATTAAAGGACCTTGGCTGCCTCAGTTTCTTCTTGGGGATCGAAGTGTATAGAGCACGTGGCTCAGTTGTGTTGAGTCAGAGGAAATTCGTACTAGAGTTGCTGGAAAAATATGGAATGAAAGAAGCTGCAGCATGCACAACACCTATGGTAGTATCCTCTAAGCTTTCAGGGGACGATGGTGAATTGTTGAAGAATCCTAGTGAATATAGGAGTATCGTTTGGTCACTGCTTTACGTATGGCACACTCGAACAGACTTGGCTTACAGTGTTGGAAAGGTAGCGCAATATATGCATGCTCCACGAGAAACGCACATGATGGTAGTTAAGAGAATATTGAGGTATTTGGCTGGAACTGTGGACTGGTTTTTCAAATTGATACAGGTCTCACTATCTTAGCAGTTGCCTATGCGGATTAGGAGTCTAGTGTTGACGATAGAAGATCTATTTCAGGTTATGGAGTGTTTGTTGGCCGATGCCTTGTTACATGGAGCTCCAAGAAGCAGAAATCAGTCTCCAGATCAACGATGGAGGCTGAGTACAAATGCGTTGTTGACACTGCTGCTGAAGTAACTTGGGTGAATGCCTTGCTCAAGGATCTGGGGATACAACAATCACAAGAACCAGTAGTTTGGTGCGATAACACTGGTGCAGTGGCAATGAGTGCCAACTCAGTTTATCATGCTCAGTCGAAACATATAGACTTGGATGTTCACTTTGTTAGGGAGAAGGTAGTTGCCAAGCAGATTCAAGTTAACTATGTTCCGACTGTATATCAAGTTGTTGATGGCTTCACCAAGTCACTGACTAGAACTGCATTTGAAGAGTTTCGTAGCAAGATATGCGTTGCACCAGTTAGCAAATTCAAACAAGAAATCTGGAAAAAGTAGAGGGAATGTTAAGCTGTTATAATGAGTGACACGTGTGTGTATGTTAGTGGCTGGGTTATTTAGGTTGTTAGCCAAGCTGTTAAGTCCGTTAAGCTGCAGTTACCAAGAATGTAAAACATCCATCATTGTATATAAGAGTGTCAAGCTCAATAAATAATTTTGTCTTGCCTATTCTTCAATACTGTTTTGCACCTTTTCTAATAGATTATAGAGATTTTAATAGAATAGAACCATTGATGTTGCACTTGGAAATAATGTGACACAAACAAGA